GAACATCTCTAAAATTTTCCCTCCTCCAAACAAACCTTACCAGTTACCCATTAGGGATGGAATCGGGCCGGGTGGCCCGACCCGGAACCGGCCCGGGACCGGTACTGTTCTGGCCCGGCCCGGCCCGGCCCAACCCGGTGGCCCGGTCAGTGACCGGTCCGGGTAGGCCCGGCCCGTGGGTTTTCCGGTCCGGGCTCGGATCACCCAAAACAAGGCCCGAGCCGGCCGGGCCCGGTTCGGGCCAAAACCTTTTTTTTCCAATTTGTTTTTAAATTTTCGGGTTGGGCTGGGTATTTTGGGCCATTTGGGGTGGTTTGGGGGGTTGGGGGTGGGAGGGGGGTTAATTAGGAAGAGGAAAAAAAAATGATAATGGGCCCGGCCCGGACCCGGACTGGACCCGGTGGTTACCCGGGCCTAGGGATGGATTCGGTTCGGGCCACCCAGCCCGTGACCCGGCCCGGCCCGGTCGGGCGGTCCGGGACCGGGTATGGGCCCGAACCGGTGGGAAGGGGCGGGGCGGGCTCGGTTCAGCATTATTGTGACCCGGCCCGGCCGGGTCGGGCCCGGGCCCGGGTCCGGTTCAATTTTAAAAAAAAAATTAAAAAATTTTGGTTTGGGCTCCTACTAGCCGTTGGGGGTGGGGCTGGGGACAACCCAAACGGCTATATAGCCGTTGGGTGGGGTAAAGGGGGGGTCCGGGGGGGTTGGGTTGTGGGGGGGTGGGGGGGGGGGGGTAAAAAAACCTATAAATACTCCTAATCTTAAACATTTTTTCATATCTCTTCTCCAATTCTTCCTAAATCCTATTCTTAACTCTCTACTCTCTAATTCTCTTATTCTCCATTCTCCAATATATTATATTTATTATTTATACTTTATAGTTTATATTAATTATCTACTTATATAAACTATAAATAGATATAAATAGTATTATATTACTTATATTTGTTATCTAATTATATATTACTTATATATTTATTATATCTATTAATATAGTTGGAATTATATCTAATTAATTTGAAGTCATTCTATTACTCCCATCCGAAAGACCGAAAGTCCGAAAGAGGTACGAAATTATTCTATTATTTACACTTGTTTAATTACTAGTTAATTAGTATAGTTGGAATTACAATTTTTTATTAATATAGTTGGAATTACAATTTTTTATTAATGGCTACATTTGACTCTAATTTAAAAAATATGTTGTACACAAAACTAGTTAATTCACTACTTAATTTGCTATAACTCGAATTAATAGTTAGATAAATAGTTAATTAGTTTTTTACAATTTTTTATTAATGGCTACATTTGACTCTAGTTTAAAAAATATGTTGTACACAAAACTAGTTAATTCACTACTTAATTTGCTATAACTCGAATTAATAGTTAGATAAATAGTTAATTAGTTTTTTACAATTTTTTATTAATTGCTACATTTGACTCTAGTTTAAAAAATATGTTGTACACAAAACTAGTTAATTCGCTACTTAATTTGCTATAACTCGAATTAGTAGTTAGATAAATAGTTAATTAGTTTTTTACAATTTTTTATTAATGGCTACATTTGACTCTAGTTTAAAAAATATGTTGTACACAAAACTAGTTAATTCACTACTTAATTTGCTATAACTCGAATTAGTAGTTAGATAAATAGTTAATTAGTTTTTTACAATTTTTTATTAATGGGTACATTTGACTCTAATTTAAAAAATATGTTGTACACAAAACTAGTTAATTCACTACTTAATTTGCTATAAACTGAATTAATAGTTAGATAAATAGTTAATTAGTTTTTTAGAATTTTTTATTAATGGCTACATTTGACTCTAGTTTAAAAAATATGTTGTACACAAAACTAGTTAATTCACTACTTAATTTGCTATAACTCGAATTAATAGTTAGATAAATAGTTAATTAGTTTTTTACAATTTTTTATTAATTGCTACATTTGACTCTAGTTTAAAAAATATGTTGTACACAAAACTAGTTAATTCACTACTTAATTTGCTATAACTCGAATTAGTAGTTAGATAAATAGTTAATTAGTTTTTTACAATTTTTTATTAATGGCTACATTTGACTCTAGTTTAAAAAATATGTTGTACACAAAACTAGTTAATTCACTACTTAATTTGCTATAACTCGAATTAATAGTTAGATAAATAGTTAATTAGTTTTTTACAATTTTTTATTAATCGCTACATTTTTTAGATGGATCGTCCTAGATATTCGGTTGATATGGGTAACCTCGAGCGCAACCGAACGAAAGAGCTTGCGAGGAAGAGATCCCGCAAAGGTAAATCACATATCGGCTCTTCATCTCAAAGTCAAAATGATTTTGATACGGGTTACGTAAGGAGGGATGGGGGTGCGATGACCGACGAAAACCTAGAACAAGAATTGCACCGACATAATTCCCGCTTTTTTCAAGACCAACCGAGGACCATTGACGAAGAAGAGCTCGAGGACGAGGACGACGATGTGGAGGAAGCAATTCCGGAGAGCCACGACGAGGAGGAGGGGGGGGGGGGGGTGGCGGCAGCCATGACGCCGACCAAGCAGCCTCATCCCAAACAGGTACAAAAAAAAGTAAATCTGAATTAATGGCTAATAATTTTACTAAGTGGAAGGACCCGAACACCGGGAATTGGACCGCAACTTGCAATTGGTGCAAGAAAAACTATAGCTTGGGGATTTCCGGCGGATACGGATCCGCCACAAGACACCTTAAGTCCAAACACCCGGTGGAGTATGCAAAATTAGGCGGCGGAACGGGGAAGCAAACGCAAATATCGAGGTTTGCAAATAACCAACAAGCTTTTGGTAATTTCTCATACAATGATGCACAAAATTTTACAGGTATGGCTAACTTACTTGTTGAAGAAAATTTGCCTTATTTGTTTTCTTAAAGTCTTGCTTTTCGTGATTATGCACAAACTTGTTTAAATCCGCAATATAGAGGTTACAGTCGCAAAACGGTTAAGAAAGAAATTTCAAGGCTTTATGGTGCGGAAAAGGTAAGGTTACAAAATTATTTTGCAAACTTTGATGGACGTGTTACTGTATGTTCTGACATATGGGAGGACACTTATCATAATTTACATTATTTGGGTCTGACTGTACATTATATTGATAATGATTGGCATATGCATAAACGTGTTCTTGCTTTCCGTGAATTTAATGATCGTCACACCGCTGAACATATTTATATTTTGATTGAACGTATTTTAATTGAGTATAATTTAATTGATAAGGTGTTTGCTATTGGTTTTGATAATGCTACTAATAATACTGCTGTTATTCCTAGATTGCGTGAATTGTGTGGTTCTACTTCTTTGATGGGTAGATTTTTTCATCAACGATGTGCATGTCATGTTCTAAATTTATGTGTGCAAGATGGTCTAAAAGCGTTGGGAGCATCGTTGGAGGTAGTCAAGGGGGGGATTAGACGTATTTGGGGTAATGGACACCTTAGGAAAAAATGGCATGATTATTTGATAGAAAGAGGTGAGAGATATGTGGCTTTTCCAAAAGATTTGTCTATTCGTTGGAATAGTATCTATAAGTTAATTGGAGTTCTTCTTAGATATAAACAACATTTTCCTGCTTTTATGAAACAATATGATAACTATATTATAAACTCGGCTGAGATCGACACCTGTGAAAAAATTTGTAATGCTTTGATATATTTTAATAATGCAACTGAAACTTTTAGTCATGTTTATAAACCTACCTCAAACCAATTTATTCGTGAAGCTGTTAATCTCGCCGGTGCTTTTTCAAATTTTGAGAATGCTGATTATGTGAGTTATTTTGCTGGTTTTATGAAGGAAAAGTTTTTAAAATATTATTCACATATTCCGCATATTTATGGTATTGCATTTGTTCTCGATCCTCGTTTTAGACTTGGTTCTTTAGAAGAATGTTTGAATTATTATTATGCTGCTTTTTTTGGTCCATTGCCAATGTATGAGGACAACCCAATTGATCCGAAAAAAGAATACAACGAGGTTAGTGATATATTTTATGCATTATTCAATGAGTTTCATGCACAATATGGCAATACGCCCCCTCCCCCGACACAAACATCATCTAAAGGAAAATCAATTTTCAAATCTACGTTTGCCAATCTTATTAAAAAAACAAAATCAACTCCCGCTACACAACAAAGCACAATTAATGAGATTTCTTTGTATTTAACTTATGATGTTGATTTTGAAGAAGATGATGATTTTGACGTACTAAACTGGTGGAAGGGAAAAGAAAGAATGTTCCCGGTTTTAGCAAAGATGGCTAAGCAAGTGCTATCAATGCCGATTTCAACGGTTGCCGTGGAACAAGAATTTAGTTCGGCCGGCAATGTTCTAACACAAACCAGAACGAGGTTGAGCGCCGAATCTCTTGAGATGCTTATATGCTACCACGATTGGTTGAAAGCAGCACGTAGAGCTCAAGAAATTGACATCACTCCATCCCAACACTTTATGGATGAATCTACAGAGGGTGGCTCTACCTATGCCGGAGATTCCGATTAAAAACAATTATAGTTCCTATTTAATTTTCAAATGTAGTTCCTATTTCATTTCAAATAAATGCACTTGAAGTTTGTTTTTTAATACTTGTATAAAACTATAAAGTATAAAATATAATTTAAAAAAAAATATTTAACCGGCCCGGCCAGGCGGGTGGCCCGACCCGTGACCCGGGCGGGTGGCCCGGCCCGAACCGGACCCGTCCAACCCTCGGGCCGGTCCCGGGCCCATCTGATACGAACCGGCGGCCCGACCGGGCCTAGGCCCGGCCCGAGCCCGACCCGGCCCGAATCCATCCCTACCCGGGCCGGTCCCGGGTCCACCATTTCTGAACCGCCGGCCCGCCCGGGCCTAGGCCCGACCCGGCCCCGGCCCGGACCGAGTCCATCCCTAGTACCCATGTTCTAACTTAGAACTTTAGAAGTATGAAAGATAGCTAATGAACGCATGCATTCATTCAGGCAAGCTATATATTGGCACAATGTAAATTGTAGTACAATTTGTACAAAGGTGAGACTGTTACAATATTTATGCATGCAAAAGAGAATAGGAAATTCAAATTTTTCAAAACGATGCATGGCTAATCAACGATCACTGCTGTTATTTTGTGTTTAAAGTCGCTCAAACGGGAGAAGTCATAGGTGTCACAGAGCAACAGCTGCTTTATCTTAACTTCACCAAGTGTTATGATGTTTAATGGTGGAAACAACTGCTTCAATGCTCTGGAAATTGCGTCGTTCTTTCAAAAGCAATTTTGCGAATTCCAGAGCTTGCCTTTCACATTTAGCTCGTTTCCCAATATCCGAGATTGATTCAAAATCCTCAACATGAGCTACGCCAACAATTCTCCTGTAGTTCAAGTCATTTAATAAAAATTAAGCAATGAGTTTCAAGGGCGTTCCGATCCAGGTTTAGAGAATGTTATGATGTAACTAGGTTGGGTGATCTGGTTACCTCAACAATGTAACACTACCCTTCATGTCTCGATTTTTACAAGTAGAACAGAGAGAATAAGACTGCAACCATTTTCTTATGCATTTATAAGATTACATAGTACCATGGTACTACCTCCCGTCCCAGAAACAGTGTTTCTTAAGGTACATTTTTCTTTGCAAGGCTTAAATATTGGAAACCATCAATCCTAACTATATTTTAAATTTGTTTGTTGGTTTAACTATGCTTCCTTAACTTTTTTATACTTCAAAAAAATACATTAATATAGTAAAAGTAAGATTATTTAGTTCTCTCTAAATGTAGGTTAGATTAGTTAGTTCATACAGGGATATTTTTGGATAAAAATTAAGTATTCAAATAGGACCTTTTTTGGACAGAGAGTAATATATACACTACTTCGCGCTTGGCCTTAACCTTTTGAGAATAATTTAAGATAACCTCACACAATGTGTAATCTTGCATTTCATTACATACAGTAATGGAAAAACGTGCGGTAATATCTCATAATCCATGAACCAAAAAATCCCAGAGTCATTGGTGAATCTATAGTGTTTGACCCGTGTAATATGCTGAAATCCTCAACACAGTGATTGCTATGCAATTTGTTTCAGCATAAGCAAAACAATATTAGCGACCGAACATATAACAAACCAACTTCCTAAAACTGCATGAGCCTAAAAAAATGTACCTTATCATCTTGGCAGCGCCGAATCCAAGGGTGTCATGAAATACATCTTTCATATACTTCTCTCTTACCAGATTCTGAACCTCAGAATTGTTATATATATCAGAAAGATATGCCTCACCAGGCCCATCCTTCTGTTCATCCCATAAAGCAATGAACTTTTTGTGGAAGAGGCTCCAAGTATCTGCTATTGTCTTCAAAATCCATTCTTTATATAACTGCACATGAAAAGACTCTTATGCTATGTTTGGAATGCAGGAAAAGGTACAGGAAGGAAACGAATGCTACGTAGAAAAACTACTTTTTGTTTACCTTTATATTGGAAAAGTACTACAAAAAATCAAAAGCGATTAAACCTTTTTAAAATTTTACATATATATTAAATTCTTTGACTTTATATAATACAAATACAATAACAACATCCAAGCCTTATTCCCAAAAGATTTTGGGGTCGGCTAACATGAATCAATTCATGTTAGCCGGGCCGGATTGGATTGATAATACAAATAATACAAAAATATTCTTTACAAATAATACAAAATATTTGTATTATATTTTTATATAATACAAATATAAAAATAAATTATTTTGAACAAACATCTAAATCGAGTTCGAACACATTCTTTATTTTCCTTAAATGCTCTTACATTCTAAAGTCTCCTCTATTTTCATTCCCTAGCATTTTTATGTTCCACCCAGTCTATACACTTAATAAATCAGTGTGAAAATTGAGACATGAATGGTGCCCGCCCAATAATAGTACTCTGTCTACCCCAAACAAAGGGTCATGTTTCAAGATGTCCTTTTTCTGAAGAAAATTCTAGTTTTAAAAGTCAACATTAAATTTTAATGTCATGATAATCAACAATTCTTGAAGGAACCATCACTGGACGATAACACCACTGGAATGAAGAAATAGTCTGGGTGTTTGGTGTCCGTGTCTAGCATAGGCATTGAGACAGTGGTTGACTGAAAATGATAAATAAGAATTATAGGGGGATAAGTGACCACTGGTGACAAAAGCAAAAACCTGTACCTGGATTGAGTTGACTAAAAATACAATGTTGTAAGTTATTCAAACTAGACTCTCTTGCTGGGAGGGGAGTAAGGAAATACAAAAGCATGGCCATAAAATTTAATAGGCAGCACAAACCTGGCGGTCATTACCCTGATTTGCATGCCCATCTTGAGCATAGTAAGCCAAAACTAGGTTCCCAATAAATGCTCCAATATCAAACCCCATTGGGGCATAAAATGAAAATTCAGGATCAATGACTTGAGTTGACTCGGGAGTGACCATGACAGAACCTGTATGGAAATCGCCGTGTATAAGAGCTTGTGTTCTTTCACAAAACCTGAAAAGTATCACCAAACAAATATACTGGAAGCTTCTTTAAACTTAAAGCATAGTACTGTCTCCGTTCTCTTTTAATTGCAATATTGGATTTTTTTCACTATTCACATATTCTACTTTGACTATATTTTATTTAATAAAGTATTATAAATTAAATTTTAAAAAAAAATTGTTAAATTCTTCTCATTTTAAATTTTCAAAATCTGAATTTTTTAATTTTTTACTAATAAGAAATGAAAGATATTAACGGTCAAACTTGTGCATTGTCAAACGTGAAAAGTGGACTGTTGCAATTAAAAAAGAACAGAGGAAGTATTGTTTTAAAAAGTGAGGTGGAAAGAGCTAAATAAACATATTTTCAGTTGGAAATGTTACTTTGACTTTAGCTCTGCAATTTCAAGCTTCAAATTGTTATCATTTCGCACTGCCTCTGCATCAGCATCAAGATAAGGAGTTGTCCAGCGGTTATATTGGGAAACTTTGTATGGATCAGAGAAGATCACCTGTTCTGTGAGTCTACACATTTCCACATTTCCACAAAACTCTGCAACTGCATAGAGGAATAAATGGCTTTAGGTTTACAAGTCAAAGATACCCAGAGTAAGAGCCTATTTGGGAAATGGCTGAATCTGCTTAAATTGTGGCAGAAGCGGCTGAGTATGTGGAATTATCTAAAATATATAACGAAAATGATATCTAAAAATGAAGTTCCAAATTTCTTTTATGCCGTAATGGGTTTTGATATTGGAGCATTTATCGGGAACTTAGTTCCATCATCATCCGATTCAATAGTGGAATAAGTTAATGTTTAGTGAAAATTTGCCTTACAAGCAGGGGCGGATCTAGGAATATGAGATGCCCTGGGAATAACTGGGATGGAGAGCAAATGAGCAATTATACTAGACTATTAGATAACCGAGAGAGAGAAGATGAGCTAACAGAAAGATTTCATTAAGAAACTGAGTTGGATTACAATGTATTTATAGAGGTTGTTAACAAGCTGTAGACTATAGACTTATTACATTAGAAGATTCTAGTCTAACACAATGCATATAGCTAACATCCCCCCCTCAAATTTAGGGTGATTGACTTCAAAATTCAATCACACTAAGTTTTGTTCTGAGTTCAAGAAATCTGGAGCTGGAGAGTGGTTTAGTTAGGATATCAGCAATCTGGTGAAGAGAGGGAATGTGATAGACTTCAAGTTGCTTTAGAAGAACCTTCTCCCTGACAAAGAAAAGATCAAGTTCCAAGTGTTTAATTTTGGAGTGCAAGACAGGATTGTGAGCTAGCCGGACAGTAGCAATACACCTTGGGTATAGCAAAAGGAACTTGTAGTTCTTTCAAGAGAAACTGGATCCATAGGAGTTCTGCTGAGGTATCTGCAAGGCTCCTATATTCTGCTTCTGTTGAAAACCTAGCAACTCTGAGTTGTTTTCTTGACCACCAGGATACAATATTAGTTCCAAGAAATATACATGAGCCAGATGTAGATTTTCTGTCATTTGGATCAGATGTCCGGTCAGCATCACAGAAGACTGATATAGGAAGAGACATTTTGGACAAAGGAAAAGGCTTAATGATGATGCCATGGTTGCTGGTGCCAGCGAGATATCTAAGGATACGCTTCACTGCTTGCCAGTGTTCCTGCAGTGGTTCAGCCATGAATTGACATACTTTATTGACAGCATAGCATATATCTGGCCTGGTTAAAGTAGCATACCGTAGAACTCCAACAATGGATCTGTAGTGAGAAGGATTGGAGAGAAGGTCACTGCCTTGTTTCTGAAGTTTGCAGGTGCAAACCATGGGTGTTTTGACTCCTTTTGAATCCAACATACCAGCTTGAGTCAATATATCTCTAATGTACTTAGCTTGAGATAGATGAAGGCTGCCATCAGGAAGTTTGCGTGCATCTATTCCCATGAAGAAGTCTAGGTCTCCTAGGTGTTCAAGGGAGAAAGATGAATGAAGCTTCTGAAAAAGTTGAGTGATGGCAGTAGAGTTGTTTCCAATGATTAATATGTCATCAATGTATATCAATATATACATCTGAATTCCAGAAGACAGAAAAATAAGTAGAGGGATCAGATTTGCTTTACTTGAAACCACCATTATAGAGAACAGAAGTGAGCTTGTGAAACCAAGCTCTAGGGGCCTGTTTAAGGCCATACAGAGACTTGTGAAGCTTGCAAACTAAGGAGGTGTCCTCAACCTGAAACCCTGGAGGCTGCATCATGTAGACTTCCTCATCTAACTCTCCATCTAGAAAGGCATTGTTGACATCTAGTTGGTGAATGGACCAATTTTGTGAAATAGCAAGTGTGAGAAGTATTCTGATGGTGACTGGTTTGACAACTGGAGAGAATGTTTCTCCAAAATCAAATCCATACTGCTGATGAAAACCTTTTTCCACCAACCTGGCTTTATATTTATTGAGAGAGCCATCAGGATTTTCCTTGACTCTATAAACCCACTTGCAGCCAATGGCCTATTTATTTGGAGGAAGGGGAACAAGAGACCAAGTTTTGTTAGCAATTAAGGCATCATATTCACATTGCATAGCTTCAAGCCAATGAGGAGAAGTTAGGGCCTGAGTAACTGATTGAGGCTCAATATGGGTTAACAGTGAGGTAGGATGAAGTCTTGGTTTTACAATCCCTTACTTAGCCCTTATCTTCATCGGATGAGTATTACTGATAGGAACCGGAGAAATTGGAAGAGCACAAGAAGATGAGTGTGATGTGGAAACAGGAGAAGAAGAATCAGAAGAGGAAGATGAAACTGAAGCATTGTTGGAAGAAGATGGATCTGAACTATTGGGGGATGAAGAGAGCATGATCTCCAGTAGCAGTTGGCTGATGAGTAGAGACAAATGGAGTAGATTGGGCAGAGTTAGAAGTGGAAATAGGTAATGAAAGACTAATGGGCACAGAAATGAGAGTAGAATTGGTGGTTAAAGAAGAAGATTCAGAGGAAAATAGGAGAGGATAAGGGAATTTAGATTCCTGAAAAATAACATCCCTAGAGATGTAAACTTTGCCAGAAGAAGACAGACATTTGTAGCCTTTGTGACTTGAGGAATAGCCCACAAAAACACACTCCTCTGAATGAAAATCAAGTTTGTGTTTGTTGTATGGTCTGATAAAAGGATAACAAGCACAACCAAAGACCTTTAGAAATGAGTAATCAGGCATAGAGTTATATAGTTTGAAATATGGACTAGAATTGGAAATGGATTTGGATGGAGTTCGGTTAATTAGATGGACAGAAGTAGCAAAGGTTGTATCCCAGAATTTAAGCGGCAGAGAAGAGTGAGAAAGAAGAGAAAGACCTTTTTCAACAATGGTACAATGTTTTCTTTCCACAACACCATTTTGATGGTGTGTGTGGACAAATGACTCTATGAATAATGCCTTTTTCAGATAGCAGTTTAGTAAATGGCCAAAATTCACCAGCCCAATCAGACTGCAAAGACTTTATGGATACAGAAAATTGTGTGAGAACATATTGAAAAAAGTTACTAAAGGCTTGAAGAGCATCAGATTTTTGTTTGAGGAAACAATGGGAGCTGGTCCCCATAGATCCGTGAAAATGAGTTCAAAAGGTTTGTGATAAATGGTTGTAGATTGATAAGCAGGCGGTCTATGTGCTTTACCAATACAACAGGCAGAACAAAAATTTGTTGCACTTTTATTAATATAAGGAACATTACATTGTGGGAATACAATTTTGAGAGCCTCAATATGAGGATGGCCAAGCCTTAGATGCCAAAGATTACATGATTGAGAAGAACAACTAGACTTAGCATTATTACAAGTAGATAACAAGACACTAGACTTGGTATTTTGTGAGGATGAAACCTAAGCAAAAGATTGATGAAGTGATATAGGAGACTGGTGAGACTGAGAGCTGGAAAGGATTGGAATCTGTACAGACCATCTGCTCCCAGTACACCATGCAACAAGACTTGATTAGAAACCTGTGATTTCACATAACAATCATAAGGATAAAATTCAAAAAATACATTGTTATCCTTAGCAAATTGACTGACACTGATTAGATTTTTAGTTATTGAGGGAACATGAAGAATATTGTTGAGAGAAAGGGAAATAGAAGACTGATAGGAAGAAGAAAAAGAAATACAACCAATAGACTTGATGTCCAAACCTTGACCATTTCCCATAAGAAGCTTATCAGTAGTTGTAACAGGCTCACTGTGCTGAAGGTTTAAAGGTGAGGGCCTAGAATAGAGGCATTGGCATAGGCATAAGCAGCAGTAGGATTATATGAAGCACCGGGTGAATGATGATAGTTTTGATGTGATGATTGTTCCCAGTTGAAAGAGTGCACTGAATTGTTTGTGGCAGTAGGATTTGTTGAATGAATGGGATAATTAGAAGCAGGTCTTGGAGGATATGGATTGGCGGAGTAAGGATTTGTGGAGTGAGGATTGGTTGAAGGATTGGAGATAGTATATGAAGGATTATACCTATGATAGCAAATGAGTGCATGATGGCCAGTTTTGCCACAGACTTGGCATATGATGGGGTTACGTCCACCAAATCTGCCCCCTCTCCCTCTAGAAAAGCCTCCACGGCCTCTACCTCTACCTCTGTAGGAATTGCTATTGTCAGTGTTGTTAAATTGAGCAACTTGAGCAGAAGCATTGTCATTGGTGTTTTCAGTAGTAGGATGAGGATTTGGAGTTAAGATTTCCAGTCGAGCAACATTTGCAGACAACAAATTCTGTTGAGAGGAATCACGAAGTTTCAGCAGTCGTGTTTCCTTAGCAGATAGAAGAGACTCAACTTCAGATAGAGTAGGTGGATCAAGTATACTGTGAGAGGATATTGACGAAGCCAGAGATTCATATTCTTCTGGTAATCCTTCAAAGATCACATTAATGTGATCCTTAGATGAAATCGGTTCTCCAATTGAAAGCACATTGTCGGCGATAGTTTGGATGCGAAGTAAGTACTCAGAGATAAAACGATTACCTTTCGCAGTATTATACAACTCGGATTTGAGTTATCTGGCCTTTGCAAAGATACTGGATTGGAAGAAGTTGTTGATTTCACTCCAAAGCTCATAGGAGTGTCTGCAATGAATAACACGAGCATGTAGAGCTTCCGAGAGCAACGCAAGTATCCATGAAAACAGCATTTGGTCTTGTTATTCCCAAGCGATATACGCATCGTTAACAATATCTGCTGCTTCGTCGTCATTAGTGAGAAATTGTTTTGGAATAATTGATTTGATGATAAACCGAAGCAATTTATGCGCTCGAACTACAGACTCAACATGGTGTTTCCAGAAGATGAAGTTGTTGGCGTCAAGTTTGATTGGAAGTGGATGAGCGAAGGTCACCAGAGTGATGGAATTTGGAGGATTTGTAGTAGCGGAGGACTGAGATGTACTGTCTGCGGTCGCCATTGACGGGTCAAGCTAGAGCTCTGATACCATATTAGATAACCGCGAGAGAGAGAAGATGAGCTAACAGAAAGATTGCATTAAGAACCTGAGTTGGATTAAAATGTATTTATAAAGGTTGTTAAGTCAGTTAGACTTTAACAACTAACCGAGATATAACAAGCTATAGACTATAGACTTATTACATTAGAAGATTCTAGTCTAACACAATGCATATAGCTAACAATAAACATTAGAGGGGTGGGCTGAATATGAAAAATGAAAAAAATTACACACAAAATTGAAAAAAAGTTAAGATATCATCTACATCAAGGAAACATAACACTTGAATACTACTCCCTCCGGTCCTAAATAAACTTCACACTTTCCATTTTGGGTAGGTCCAAAACAAACTTCACACTTCTTCCCCCTTCCTTATTTGACAAATTATCTACATCAAAACAGTGCAAAACAGTGCCAAAGAGTGTTAAACAGTGCCGAACAGTGTCACAACAGTGTACTCTACAGTAAAGTCAAATTTATTTCCTTAATTTGTGTGAAGTCAAAGTGTGAAGTTTATTTAGGACCGGAGGGAGTATTTCTTAAGATAATACTACCAAAGCTATCAGCAGTAGGCATCAAAGAAGAGAAGTTTTATTACAAATTAATAATATGGGAGCATAAAGAAGCTGTTTGAAAAAATATGGATCACTAATTCCATATATACACATAACAAATTCAAGCAAAATTAGTGAAATTTTGAAATCAGATACCTGCACGCTTGTGGTCGGTAGTCGTAAGATAAATCAAGGAAGTGAAAAAAAGTGTCTTAGACATGTAGTGTGATATATGCTCAGCAAGCAATGGATACTCAATCCCTGCAATCAGTCCTTTCCTTAAGATTATATGAGGCGGTTCAATGTAGCGCATGCCAATTAAACACATGGTTCGGTCAAAATGGTAAACTTCAGGAGTATGTTCAGGGCATAAGCGTCCATGCTCTTTTAAAGTTGTCACCTCAAAATAAGCACGTTCCTTTGACATTGGCCAGGACTCGCCAATACATCTTACATATGGGATGGCCTACAAACAACAATGCTACTCAGAGGGTTTTACTGAATGATCAAGTCATCAAACCATAAAAATGCATGAGATTTATCCCGTGTTTCATTAACATAAAGCACTCGGTGTCTGGCTAAAATTTCTTTAGCACTATAACATGTAATTGGACCATTGCCCATTAATAATTATCCAAACCTGCATTTTTAATTAGTCACTTCTGAATTCAAATTTTACGATTCATATATTGTGATTGCCTTAACTAACAAAAGTTACTCCCTATATAAGCACTGAAAATATTCTAAGAATCTAAAGCAGTAAATTTAGAAATTCAGGAACTCTTTAAGTAATCAACATCAAAGAGCTTGACATAAAAACGATCGATCAAAGCGATAACTTAGGTAATCAGTGTATCTTATCAGTCTACACAGAAGCATAAACAGATTTTTCATCGCAGAAAAAGGAATAAAACCAAAAGGATAGCGTTTTAAAGCAAACTCGCTGAAGGAAGGAAAATTAGGTACCTGTTTGATGACAAGAGAACCAGAAGAACCAATAACAACGTAAACAAAGTTGAGATTTCCATCACCCACTTCTCTAATTTCCAGTTTATCGAGCTGATGTGGTTCATTTCCCACTAGTATTGAAGTCAGAGACGGAGTCGATTTTATGTACTCCGCCACCGATTTTTCGTCCAGGGGCCGGAATCCATCAGAAGCCATTCTTCTCAGAGGCGGAACAGACGGCGGTAGAGAATGGTGGCGAATTTAGTAAAGCATAAAAAATGATAGCTTTGGGGAATATATTTCACAGTGCGTTACATTGAACCTGGACGATGAAGAAAAGTCAGCTTCCTAAAATTTAGATTCCTCGTGTGTTCTGTACACCCGAAGATGCTTAAGTAGTAAATGTAAACACTAACGACACCTTTACTTCAGCCGTTAGTAAAAGGTATTTATTAACGTTCTCGTTAATAAGCGATGCATAAAATAAACAGTGTTGTAAGCTCATGTTTACTTCAAAGAAATTAAAATACCATTTAACATTAAAATGTCCAAAATAATCCTATATATATATATATATATATATATATATATATATATATATATATACACACACACACAAGCATTCATGAACACAAGTATATAATATAATATGTGGGTCACCTCGTACGCTTAGTCGTTTACCCACACCCCTAACCCCTACCCTGCCCTGTACCCCACCCCTCACCCTACCCCAATTCCACACCCTTGACCCCTGATGGATAGTGTACTCAGGGGTAGCTTATCCGAAGGATTATTGCGACTAATAATTTAGAGAGAGGTTAGAGCAAGTAAGAGAGAGAAGGAGTGTATATTCGATATATATGCATCGTGTCTTTTATTACAAGGGAAAACGGCCGCTATTTATAGTAGTCATAAATGCTTGTCATGGACACGTGTCAAATATCCGACGGCCGAGGGTCACCTCAATCGGGGTGGCACCGACATTTGCATGTGCACCGCATTAAATGCGGTTGTTAGACGTGACGTCGCATTAAATGCGGTGGTTGACTGGCTCTAAAAGAAATCTTCGTTGAGTCTGCTGTATACTGAATGCCTACGTGTGGCCGTCGGCATCATATGGCTGAAGATATCATGTGGCCGAAGGCATCATATAGCCAAAGGCTATATACAGTCGAGGGCATCGAATAGCCGAAGGCTAACATTTTAGCCAGAAATTTCTAGAAGCTTTGCAGGTCCACTTCAAGTTGTCTCCTAGAATTTAGAGCCTTCGGCCGTAGGGCCGAAGGCACACCATGCCTATTATGGGCTGCCTAGAGTTTTGTTTACTGGGCTTGGCCCATTTGGGATTGTTGGGCCTGATTTGTTGTAGCAGAAGTATGTGGATCGGGGGTTCCTAGGCCATATACTCCATCAGGAGTCCGCCACTCCTTTCGCTGAGAGTTTCTCGAAGGAAATAGGAGTAAATGTTGTGAAGTCGTCGATGGCTGTTTTGTTGTAGTTTGTAAAGTAGTGTAACATTTGTGTTTGTGTGTTTTTCCGAGGGTAGTCCCCCAGTCCTCCACATTGTTTGGGGCTAAAGACTTTTCTTTATGTATTGAGAAAACTTTTAATTTTTTGTGATCTCCCGAAGGGGTTCCCCAGTCCCCCCACTTCTTGAAGCACATGTAATGAGGTGAAAAGGAGTAGAGTAATAGACTTTTGCGACAGGGAGCCGAGGGCTGACGTCTTTTGGTTCACAATGGGGAGATGCCTCGTTAAAAACCTCATTGGGAAAAACCCTGTGGGAAAAATCCTAATGAGGGAAAGAGAGTGCACTGGATGCCCCCAAAATAAAGTAAGAGGTGTGGACTCTTCAGTCAGAGATGAAGGATCACGCTTAGGCCGAGGGCCATTCGTGATCTGGGGAAAGTGGTCCTGAGAAGTCGAAGGCCGATCGTGATCTGAGGGTGTGACCCTTGTTGTTGAATGGAAGTGATTATTCCGGTGTTGGCCGGGGGGTCCCCCAGTCACCCACGCCTTTGTGCTGAGGGCTAACTCTAGATGGAGGGTTTTGAGTGTGATAACCCGAGAGCTTGCGTTGTTGTTGTTTGAAGGGTGTGAGCTGAGGTCATCCCGGTGTCTCAAAAATAGTCGTTGGGATATGCCCGTTGGAGGAGGCGTCCATGTGGCGTGTTCTGGCTGGCTGTTTCGGGCGGGTGCATGTCACCGGTTGGCTGAGGTGACGGTTCGTAATGATGGGCTTTTAACCCGAGGCCCAAACCCATGCCTTAACCGCGGTTGGGGAGGCTATAAATACCCCAAGGCCGCACCCATTTAGTTTGTGCGATTTTAAGTTGAAGCGAAGCTCTACCAATTTTTCTAGAGAGAGAGAGACTTTAGATCGATCAAACCCCTATTTCCGAGGTCAGTTCTTCCTCTGTTCTTGATTTTCTTGCATATTTCGCTCCGCAAGCCTTAGATCTAGTGTTAGTGGCCTTAGGGCTTCTGTCACCCGAACTCCCCAATATATCAAAAGATGTTGTCGGCCAGTGACTCCCAAGACATATCCCGAGAGCCCTCGGTCCAATCCGAGACGTGGTCCGACGAGAGGTCAGCAAGCGACCAGGCTTCGTCAAATAATGACTCTGTCGTTGCGATGGAGGTGCAAAAGGATCTTCGGGCCGAAGCCGAAGCCGAGGCCGAGGAGTTTAAACAGGTTATAGAGGACGAGGAGCTTGCCATTGTCGTTCATACGGCCGAGGAAGAGGAGGAGAAGGAACATCGTCAGGTTACCATTGCCATCCCTTCGGCCGTTGCCAGCGGATCAGGGACCTCACGCCCCCTCAGCCTGGATCTCCTTCGGACTGCTCCGTCGAAGAAAAAGAAGAAAGTGAAAGCAGCCCCCGGGAAGAAGCAAAATGCAGCAGACCATGGGAAACCTTTGGGGATACCCAAGGGCATTATTTCTTGAACACTGTTACCCTCGCACTGACGTCGAAGGCTGATCGGGCGGAGTGTTATGTCACGCAGCTTCATGTTGGGCCCTCGGCTACTATGATAGAACCGGGTCCCAATGATGTGCTATCTCATGCTCCCGAGGGGTGTTTCGCAGTCCATGTTCTTTCGGTCGCGTTGGGCCTTCGGTTCCCATTACATCCTTTCGTTCGCGATTACCTCAGGTACGTTGGCTTGGCCCCCTGCCAACTAACTCCGAATAGCCACTCGTACATTACCGGCTTCCTGCACCTCTGCCGGTCCCGGGGGTAGTCCTAGCCTTGACCTCTTCTTCCAAAGCTTCAACCTCTGTCGGGAAGGCCACACCAATGTCGAAGGCTTCACCAACCTGCAACAGGTCCCTCAGTGGAGGCTTTTATCTGATGTGTCCTCATCCCACAAAGGCTGGAAGGACCGCTTTTGCTACATCAAGATGGCGGAGAATCTTTTTCCCGACGAGTTGCGGAATCACTTAGGTGCCATCTAAAGGTGAAGAGCGCCGCCCTCGAGAAAGATGGGAAGAAGATATCTGCTTTCCCGTAGGGTTCCACCAAATTGGTGACGATCAAGGACTCCACCCTCCCAGATGACTTGTATAGTCTGGGCTTCCGGCGTTACCGTTTCTTGGGAGAAAGGGACGAAAAATATCCCCTCATTGACCGTGTGTATGAGAGCGCCTCGGTTCCCGGAGGTGATTTACCAAAGGCAACATGTTGTCGTACTTAGAAATTTTTTGCATTATTTTGCTTTTAGCTTTGTAATGATCCCCTCGTTCTTATACTTGATTCATCTGTGCAGGTAGTGATATGGACGTCAAGTCCCTTTATGAACTGAAGAAGCGGAAGGCGAAGGCTCAGAACAAGAAGGAGCCGGCCAAGCAAAATCCCGTTGATGCCTTTTTTCAGAAGGGGGTGAGGAGCCCTCCGCAGCTGCCGGTGGTGAGGTCGGGGGATCTCAGGCCGTGGTGGCCATGAAGAAGAAGAAGGACGGAAAGGGGGTTGAGCCCCCGGCCAAGAAGAATAAGGTGGCCGATTCCGGCAAGCAACCTTCCTCTAACAAGGTCATAATAGTAGACGAGGGGGGTGCCTCCGGCCCCATGCCTCAGGAATTCATTAATGAAGACTTCTTCGGTCGGGAAAAGCTGGAGGCACTCGTGCCGAGGGATAGCTCTGTTCTCGAAGCTACTCAATGCCCCTCGGTGCTTATGAACCAGATGATGCCTTCGGGCGATAGGGTGGCCCTCGCCCGGCTGGACAATGAAGCCTTCAATTCCAAGATTCTCCTGAACAGTGCCTCAGTAAGTCTCTTCTTTGTTCTTACGTTTATTTGTTATTACTATGTAATGTATGTAGTATGCATGACCCTTTGCACATGTGCTGCTGCAGACCTTAATGGGCCTCTGTGAGCAGATCCGGAGGGTGGATCAGATCATGAAAGACAAGGCCGCAGCTGATGAGGCCTTGAGGAAATCCGATGAGGAGAATGCCTCCCTTTGGAAGAAACTGGCGGAGGCGGAGGCTAGCATGGGCCCAAGGCTGGAGGCTGCTGAGGCCAAGGGCAAAGCCATTGCTGAGGAGGCAGCTAGGATAACTGTTGAGGCTGCCGAGAGGACCAAGCTTGAGGAGATAGCCAAAGCTGAGAGGGCCGCCGTCGAGACCTTCGTCACCGAGGTATGGTGCTCCGAGGATAAGAAGGAATGGGTCTCCTCGGTGGTGGAGAAAAGCGTCGACACCTGGGTTGAAGGCCCCGGTAAGATGTGGTTGGCCGAGAGAGGCGACTGCTATTACCAATGGGGTGAGTTCTTCACTCATTGCCTAATTTATCGGAGGCTGGCCTGGCACTTCCATATCCCTCCAGAGCAATTTGAGCCAGCAAACTACGGCCTGCCCCCTCCCCCCCCCCCCCCCCCCCGTCACCCAGATGTCAGGATCCCCCTCCCCCGGTGAAGAGAGACACGTTCTCGAGTACTCTGAGATGATGAGGGAATGCGATGATGGTGATGTAGACGAGGTCGATGGTGGTGCTACCTCACAGGCTGTCCCCGAGGGTGCCGATAAATGATTGCACTTGTTGGAACTTTGATGTGTAATAACATTTCTTAGCTTACGGCTTCGGCCATGATGTAACACTTACTTCTTATTTCTCTGTGAATGGATACCTCTTCTTGCCTTCTATCTTATTTCTTCCTTGCGTGTGTATACTTAGGTTTCTTCTTTGATTTCTTGCGATGTGTGAATGGGTTGTAAGCCTTACTCCGTTTTGTCCGAGGGCCATCGGGTTCGGACTTTCCAAAATTCAAACTTAGGCACAAAAGCTTAAGCCTCCGGCACCCCCCGATGTGCTAGGGGCCCTTAAGTCAGGGACTTTAGAAAAATCTTCACTGAGTT